TAATGGCAATGATAGCACCAACAATAATAATGATAATAATGGTGACAATAATAATAATAGTAATTGTAGTAATAATATTAATGGTGTTAATGACAGAAATGATAATAATGTCGGTGATGGTAATAATAATGATGATATTGACGGTAATAATAATAATGACAATAATAATAATATTAATAATAATTTTGATAATGGCTGTACAATTTCAATACCGTTGTTGTTGTTGCTGCTGTTACTGACAGTAATAATAATGACAATGGTACTACTGCTACTACTACTGCTGAAAATAGTTATATTAACAGTAATAGTAATAATAACAGTAAAAATAACGATAATGGCAATAATAATGACAGTAACAAGGGGAAAAAATAATGATAATGAAGATTTGTAATAATGGTGATAATGGTGATCATAATATTAACGGTATTAATGATAATAGCGGCAATAATAATAGCAATAATGGGAGAAGAACATGAAAATGTCAGTCTTCAACTTGCTTCTCTCCACCGTCACGTATTCCTTCTCTGTTCTTTCCTTTAATCTTCCACCGGTATTTACATTTGTTCGTATCCATTTTGCTTTCATCACATCTTTTCCTGAACGCTTATTGAATCTGGAGTTTCTTTTTTTTTTTTTTGTCTTTTCTCGTTCACTTTTTTACAACTGAGGGAGCATCAAATAGACAACCAAGCTTCTATGAAATATATTTTTATTTTTTTTCCTCTTCTGCTTCTAATTAGTGATTATAATTGGGTTATTAAAACTACAAGTAAAAAAAATAAAAAGAAAGCGAAGAAAGAAGCAGCGGAAGTGAAAGAAGAAGATGAAGGAAAAACTTTTTTTCCTTTAACATCATGGTCAATAAACTAAGCGTTTGACGAGTGCTTTTGCTTTAGTTCAGTAACGCCTAGTAGCTGATGAGGTCTTAACAATTTTTTCTCATACACTTCAATATTACTTTGGCTTTTTTTCACTTCTTTTTTCTGTTCCGGCTTTCTATTGTTAGTTGTTATAAGGCGTTATTGATGTTTATACATATGCAGTCAGTGTTGTTTGAGAATGATAAATTTTTCTATTACTTTATATAGACATATTTTTCTTATTTTTTGCTTTATTTGTCCACTCTGTTACAGTGTCATTGGAGTCTTCCGATCAACGGCTTCACTTATCATCTAACTGCAGGAATAAATCATTGCCTAATTCTCCATTACTGTATGAGAGTATGTTAGGATCCCGAAGCCGGACCTACGTCTCGGTAAAAACGTTTTTTATTTGGTGGCGTAGCTGCTGAAAATTTTAGATTTTCAAGACTTGTTTTTGTAGCAATAAAATAATGTTTTTAATTTTAAACTTCTCTGCAAAAAAAAGTTATCTATTCATTTTATCGTTGCGTATTTATCCTGATGCAGCATCCAGTGACGTGGCAGCCATCGGCTGATCAAAGGCGACTCATTGGACATATGATACTTCACAAAACTGATGGCTTGTATGGCGACTTAGGCTTTAAAGTTTGTTCCTCATTTTTGTTTTTTGGTATTTTTTTGCCTTTTCTAGAAGAACTCAGAATATTGGTCTGGAGATGGTACCAACCTGCGATGATTGTTTTAGGTTGTTGGTGGGAGACGATCAGATACGGGGCGTCTGGGAGCGTTCATTACTCGCGTCAAGCCGGGTTCTGTTGCTGACGTTGTCGGACGCTTAAAAGCTGGTTTGTGGTTGCTGTTGTTGTTTTCAAATCAATAAATAGTAATCTTTTCAGCCTGAAGAATAAAGAGAATAAAAACCGTGGAAAGATTTTCCAAAGTTTATCGGGAGTTCCCCTATTTATTTTTCTGGATTTTTTTTATGCAATAATTTTTTTTGGACTCTTACTTCTTTTCAAAATTTTTCAGCGCAAACCAGTTGTCTTTTACGGTAACATCAAATTGACGGTCTTTTGCTTTGGAAAAAACCTTCAATTTTGAAATAGAATTCACAATACTTCTATTCTTAGCAAAAAAAACCATTAATTTAAGAAAGTTTTTGGGTCAGTTTGTTAGGTTACAAATATTACTTTCATTGTACATTATGGATCTCTTTTAATGTTATTTTTGTTACCTTCTTCTAAAGGTGATGAAGTATTGGAGTGGAATGGTCATCAGCTGCAAAATACCACGTTTGATCAGGTTTACGAGATTATCAATTCGTCGAGGAACGATGCTCAGGTTGAGCTGATTGTTTGTCGGAATGCAAAGTTGGTTTTTATTTGTACTTCAATAATGATGATCTTTATGTGCATTAGGGCTCTAATATGAAAGGATGGGAAATTAAAGTTTAGTTTGTTACTCTAAAGAGCTCTTCAAGAGCTTATTTCAGTCGTCACAGGTCATTTGATGGGACATCTGATTTTCAGTCTTTTTTCATCATTTTGCTTACTTTTTGTTTTTAGTTCAGCGGCAAACGTCGATAATTATTTGAGCGTTCAGAGATTGTTGCCGCAGCCCTACGGATTTGGAAGAGGTTTGAACATAAATTTTTTATTTCTTTTTTTTTTTCTACTATTTACCTGCCTACTTGTAAAAATTTCTATTACTTTACTTTGAATGCTTCATAAATGCTGTAACAGTGGTAAAGCGGCTGAAGAATTTTTTTAGGAAGGTTGATTTGTAAAACTAAGAGAAGTAGATTCTGAAAAAGGCTTACCTTCAACGCTTTGCAGTAGAGAGCTGTGTTTAAAGGAAAAGAGGGCGTTTTCTAGCGAAAAGAAATTGACTATGCTGGACTTAGAAACTTAGGAGATTTTTTGCAGCTGTTTGCATGTTACACTGATTTTCACAGAAATAAATGATGGAGTCTCAGGCTGAAACTTGATTTTAATGATGCGGAAAAATTTGTGGATGTCAGGGTCTGCGAATTAGGAACGAAAGTAACGAAAATTCAGGGAAATAAGTAAAATGGTATCATGTATTGAGAAGTACAGTGCACATACGAACGAATCATTGCTTTTTTGCGCATTGGCAGTCTAAAACAAGAGGTAGAAAGAACAAAAGATAATGTGGTAGATCACTGATTTTGAAACTGTTACCTAAGTTTTGGCATTTTCAATAATTGGACTTTGGAAATCAATCGCCAGTGTCGCAAAGACTAGAAATGTTTCTTTTTTTTTTCTGTTTACATCGCTTCAATTTTTTTAGTCGGTTGAAGAGCTGCACACAATCAAAGCATCGTACTAAAAAAACGCTGCTGCCACTGCTGCTCGCCGGCCTCTCTCAATGTGGCTCTTACCACTTCCGCCTCTCCTTGGTTTTGAAAAGAGAACGAAAACTTCTAGCCAATCAGTTTGTTGAGGGGAATGGGTTAAGGGAGAATGAGGGGGGAGGGGAGAGGAGACGGCCGTGTTTAAACAGTGTCTATTGGAGTAAAATGTTAATACAAAGTTTTTTTTTAGAAATTTCACATTTTGACGATTGCATTTCTAATAAATAAAAAAAAAAAGGTGCAAGGCAAAAAGTTAAATGAAAAACAGAAACAAAAAAGTGTGGACAAACATTGAAAATGCATTAAGATATGGATCTGAACGAAATCTCGTTTGACTCACCGCTTGAACCGGCTTTAACACATTCTCAATCAGTTACGCTGTCACCGCACATGCAGCAGTTCTTGCAGAATACCGGCCGAAGTGAACGTCAACCGATTATCTCGCCTTTTCATACGGGTACGATGAATCTATTTTCGTCCCATAATCTCTCTATTGTGTCTTATTGATGGGAAGCTGATCTTTTGGATGGAAAAAAATCAATATTTACTAATATTTTAATTTTTTGGCTTTATTTGACCAAGTGAAAAGTCAAAGACAAAAAGCAACGAAAAAATAAACAATAAAATGCTGCTTTTAATGTTAATATACCTGACTTTTTCTTTTTTTTTTTT